CTACCACAGTACCAGTCAAAAGAAAGTTACCACAATAATGCAAGACAAAAATATTTCGAAACAAAGATACGTCTTGTATTGTTTCCCTAAAGAGGGGCGCTTTAAGTACATTGCATAAGTGCTTCACTTTGTATTTGTATTGACTGAAATAAATGTAGTGATTGAAGGGGTGAGTGCAAATCCATGCTAAGTGACGATTTAGATGAAAATTTTGTTTTCTCAAAAGTGCCTAAATTTTTGCTTATGGTCTTCAATGTAATAGAAGAACATTGTTGTGTATTTTTGTCGCTTCATTTTCGAGTTACAATGTAGGCAAAAAAACTTGGCTTTTCCTACCCGAGTCTTTAGGACTTTTTTGTTGAACAGGAAATAGACAGACTATCTCAAATTATGGGCCTTGTTTTTTACAAATTGACCACAAATTATATTCTAAACACTGACCTGGGTTTTTTTCACTTGTTTGCACGTTGTTGGAAGAAAATCTGCCTGGGTCAAGATAGTTTTCTCTGAAGCAACGAAGGCGGTACCTTACCTCAATACGATGCGAAAATGTAGCTTCTGTTTATAGTGTTCAAAGTCAAAATCAAATCCTGCAGTATCAGTTAGCTCTCTTGAAGTCAGAGAACAGCATACAAAGTGGGAATCTGGGAAACATTGTTTACATCCCTTTTTGTGATGTGGAACACACACGTGAAATCGATCAGGCATCAGAGGAAATACCGTCAAACAGAAAAGAGATGCGATGCTTTAGAGCTTTGTCAACTAACAATTGAAGTGTTCTTTTGAAGTACCTTGCATGCCTACCTGCATGGTGGTTGAGAGGCATTAAAAAGCCTTGATAAACCCGTAAGTCATCGGTAAGTTTTAAAGAACCACGATGTGCTTTCTGATGTTCGAACAAACTGATAAAATCTAGGTATTTGTGTTTGAAGTCAGATCGATCCAGGCAGCAAAGTCTTGGAGCAGTTCTTGCTCAAGAAAACAAACCTCTCGTGAGTTGTGGCCCATTTGCCAAGCATTTCGTCATCAAAGTTTGGAAAGCGAGAACTGATTTTAGACTTATAAAATATGTCTTGCATTGACCGCCATGTTTCCTGCATGCCAGTTGTAGAGAACCTTCCCGGCATACATTGCGATCACGGGCAATGGACGTTTTCATGGCTTTAGAAGCCTTGTAAACAGCAATTTAAGTAAGAGGAAGTAGATTTTACGTAGTTATTGAGACAGGGAGTATCACAGATACAGTAATGGCCAACAAGTCACTATCGATTAATTTTATTTCAAATCGGCATGATTTGTAGTGTTTCAAACTTACGGGATCAGGGGACAGAACCCTAACCTTAGGAGCCTCGTGAAATCAACATTTCGCTCTGTCATAAGTCAATTGAGCATCTCTGTGGTCATGCGTTCTCGTGAAATCTACATTTAACTGTTTTGTTGGGGAGAAAGTGTCTTTGCGGTCGGTTGTTGACGTGAACACGCATGTGTTTTTTTCAAGTGAAATCAACATCTCTGCCAGCGGCAAAAATACTGGACCATGTTGTTCTAATACACTGAAGACCGCATGCAAAAATTCAGGCACTTTTCAGAATAAATTTTTTCAGCCAAATCATGATCTTAAAATGGTTTTGCACTCACCCGTTCCATTGTGGGTTGCTTGTTTACCCAACTGTATAGAGGGTTGCTTTAAAACACAGTCGCCAAGTAAATAGCCTGGTAGATGTACATGTACAACCTTCATTCACGGACAATGCAAAGTGGATACAAATGTGCTTTAAAACTGTGGCCAGACTTTTACATGGGAAAAGTGAGACTTTGGCAACACCAAGTTTTTGCAAAACTTGATCAACTTTGCAAAACTTGCCATGTTTTTGAATATCTTTGTGTATGACTCAATGTCAAGAACTAACCTTCCCCATATCCTTGCCGTTTTAGCACACTGCACATATACAATTCCATTGGTCGGGCTTGAAGATCTTTTGAAGCGACATTTCCCTGCAAATAGATTTATGAAGGCTTCCAATATGAGCAAGAAGTTTGATAAACCTAGGATCAATTTAATTATGCAGCATTTAAGATCTTCAGAACAAGTTTGTATTACATTTATAGTATCAAACAACAAAGCATGTGTTTTTCCAAACATATATACATTTATGCTTTATCTTAGTTGGTCCTTAAAGTAAAACTTGAAAATGCCCCCTGAAAGAAAAAAAGACAATGCTGAATTTTGTGATTTGTAGGGTGTGTGGTTGCTAAAATGTACAGATGTTAAATACAATTTCACCAATTTCACAGGGAAGGGCTAGTTAACTGCGGTCTACAATGTGCTGGTATTTGAAATCACTGTTGTGCTTAAGATAAACAAGTCATGTACAGGCCATTTTTAAAAGAATCACCCAAACTATGAGTATGATGTAACATTATACACCCTGAAGTGCTTATCACTCTAGTGCAAAAGTTACGTGAGACAGTCATTTTCTGCAAAATCCATATGGAAATTGTGGACTTCATTCACATTACATGTATGTACTTCCAGAGGTTCTCCTCAATTGCTTGTTTCTTTAGTCTCCCATGAATTGAAAAAAAAAAAAAAAACACAATCAAAAACAACAAAATGAACCAATTTGATAAGGGTAAACACCATCTCTTTTGGTTGGTTTGTTAATTTTACACAAACCCTTACCATTATTCACGGGCCATTCATTCAGACAAGCTGATTCCTTTCTGACGAATGGTAAGCACCCCAGTTATCACCAATGCTATTACAATTAAGTGTCAAAAAACACACTTCGCATGTCATGTACACTGCACCTTTCCTGTTGTAAGACCATAAAGGCCAAAGTATTGTCTAATGTAGTCCTCGCTGGCTGCCCCTGGGATATCGATTTTGTTACCGAGAAGCAGCACCGGGCAACTTGCTAACTGTTCGTCTGCCAACAAACTCTGTGAAGCAAGAAACAACACTAAGTATTTTAAAGTACAGTAGTGACAATGCACACAACCAAGAAGTATTAGTGCTGTTCTGCTGTACATGTTGGATTTAGCAGTAGTCATGTACATGCAATCATATTTCAAGGACAGATTATTCCCCCTGATCATGTAGAGTACAGGAATAACCACAGGCAATAAGTAATAGTAATTGGACTGAGTGGAGTACAATTCAGGGAGTTATTGCATGAGTACATGTAACTTCAAAATTGGACGGGCCTGAGGTGCAAGGCCAATTTGAATTTACGAGCACGATTACTCTCTGAAATGTATGACACGAGGTCCAATTACTAATTAATCATATCTTCAACAAATTTCAGAATTAAAAATGGCTTTGGAGAACATCTTTTAAACGAAATTGTCTGTAGCACTTTTCGTTAGTTTCGAAAACTTTAGGAAACATTGTAAAGGAAGCCATTGAAGCATGCATAATTGATGTGCAAATCATGTGGGTATACAATTACAGGTGTCCAACTAAAAAAAGGTCAAATTGGATATGTGCAATTGGACACCCATGCAATCGTGCACCGATTACATGACAAATAGGCATCGGGAGAACCAATCACAATTGACAATTTTGTTAAGGATATGATTAAGTTGGATATCATAAACCTTGTATTACTATCATTATTCTCCTTGCACACATGACATACTACATACATACTATATTTAAGGTATATGCATACATGTACATGTATTTTGTAAAAATAGAGGTCTTCATGCAATACTATAAAAATTCTTGATTTTGATCAGTTCTTTGCATGGACTTTTTTTGTGTAATTGATGTCCATGGGCATCCAACTATTTTGCATGTCAATTACTTGCAATTACAAGGGTTCTTTCTTATTTCTTCCTTGCTTTGCCAAAATCAATGAAAAATACACACATGATTTTCTACTAGTAGTAATCAGAGATTATAAGAGTGCGTTCAACGCTCTCACTTCAATATATATATACCACAAATAAATGATTTCACTAGCTGACTTTCAACCTTTGTCTATTGCTAAAATCAATATTTTTCAGCAGCAGCCAAGGTTTTTCAGTCAGATATGCATAGTGTACGGCAACCCAGAAGGGTCACCAACCATTTTTGTTTTTGTTTTGTTTTTTAAAATTTTTTGTGTTGTTCTTTTGTCCTTTTTAATTTTGTATTTTTTAACTCTTGTTTTTGTTTTTTATTTTGTTTTTGTAATTTCTGTTTTAGTTTTGGTTTTTTTTCTTTTTATTTATTTTTATAATTACATTACATTCATTAAGTTTCACCTACATTGTATATTACACTACCACACACTTCTACACTACATAGTAATTTACTTAATTACTTTACATACTACTTTTACATCCATATTGTTTACTACACTACTTCACACTACTTATACTTAACACCCGAAACGGAAATAAATCAATAACGTTTACAACGATTACAACACTACATAAGTTTTCTAACAATACAGAAAAAAGTGTCTATACAATAAATATTCAATAAAAAATATACAAATAAGTGTCTCTAATTAATGAGAGGCTTCCACTTTCCTTCATGGATTTTAAGTCAGTTGTTCTTTATGGCTATAGATTGTTCAATGGATTCGATGTGATCTAATTTTATCATGAGATGACGCAATGATGGTAAAATATTCTTCAGACAACTGTGGTAAATAACTAGCTTTCCAGCGATGATAATATGATTTAAAAGCCACCAATGAGACCTCTTTTGCGTCAATCCAAAAATTATGTCACAGTCGTTTAAAGAATCGATAGCAATGTGCAAGGATTTAAGCCAAAGAACAACAGACATCCAGAATGCTACAACGAAATCACACCTACAAGACTCGTTTTGCCTTTCGCTTTAATTTTGGTTTTTGTTTTGCGTTTTTTGCGATCAAAAAGGAAACAAAAACAACAATATTAAACAAAAACAAAAACTTAAATGAAAACGAAAACAGCCGAAACAAAATTGATGAGTGTAGACTATCATGCTTCACTTGCAGTTGGGAACTTTACAATCGATGACATGAAAGTAGTAAGTACGGGACATTTACCACAAAGGGGGTCTTTGTACTGTGTGCCACTCGTGTGGGGTACCGAAAGGCAAATTCTGAGGACTAAGACAAATATCATGACAAATGCTCATGTCCTCCCTCAGTGGCCTAAGTAAGGTATGGGTCCCTTCCAATATTTTCTCCTTCGCCAAAAGGAGCTCACATGCAATATGTTTGCATCTGTCAAGTTTCTATCACACTCAAACATGGAAACCTTGAACAATTAAATAGAAATACAACACAGAACACGCAAACAATGAAACGATCATCATAGAATGTGAAAATAATTTCTTCGCTGCTTTTGAAGCCAGTAGAAGTGTAGGGCCGTAGCCAGACATTCAAATCAAAGGAGGCACGTCTTGCAAGCTCCGAAGGCCTGCGTGCAATAATTAGTTCATTGTGAGAGCTTAAGATTACATTCGTTTGCGCGAGGCGTGAGAGCTCTGAAAATGATATGCTTTTACAACCCTCCAAGTTAACTTTTTTCCTTAGTTGCCATTTGGCCACTGACTGTTCAGGTTTGGTCGAAAGTGAAAAATTTTAGTCGCCAAAATATATGCATAAATTAATAATTAATTGATAATAAATAATAATCTTATTATTATCTAACTGTATTATTAATAACATTTTCCTTGAACCACCAGGTAAATTGAAGTCCTGTTCAGTGAAAGAACTACCTAATGTTGATTCAAATATGCTTTTATTGGAATGATTGATGATCAAATGAAATAGTTTCTGGTCACAATGANGAAAACCTCAAACAATAACATAGAAATAAAACAGAGAACACGCAAACAACGAAACGATCATCGTACAATGTGAAAATAATTCCTTCGCTGCTTTTGAAGCCAGTAGTAGTTTAGGGCCGTAGCCAGACTTTCAAAACAAATGAGGCAAGTCTTGCAAGCTCGGAAGGCGCGCGTGCAATAATTAGTTTATTAGGAGAGCTTACGATTACATTCGTTTGCGTGAGGCTTGAGAGCTCTGAAAATGATATGCTTTTATTTATACAACGACCTCCTAACACCCTTTTACAAGTTAAGGAAATTGATGAAGAAATATCCTTGACTTTACTTGAAATCCTTGTGACCTTTGTACTTGCTATATTCTTCTCCCAAGACAAGTAGACAAGCAATGAAACAGCCGTTGAGTTTATAGTAACCGATGCGTGACTATGCTTGACGGCCAAAAGATCACACAACGGTCATGCCATGGATACTGCGAGCAAAGCATGATGGTCTACACTCACTGATTTTGTTTTGGCCTTTTGCAATTTTGTTTTCGTTTTTGTTTTTGTTTTTATTTTTGTTTCCGTTTTTGTTTTTTGTTTTTTGTTTTCGTCAGTTGTTTTGTTAATTCTTGTTTTTGTTTTTTAATTTTGTTCGCGTTTTTATTTCTTTTTTTTGAACAGAAAAAAAAAAGATGACAATGAAAAACAAAAACAAAACAAAGACAAAAACTTAAGAAACAAAAACGGAAACAAAAATTAAAAACAAAAACAAACACAAAAATTAACAAAACAAAAACGAAAACAAAAATTAAAAGACAAAAAGCAAAAACGGAAACAAAAATTAACAAAAAAAAAAAAAACAAAAACGAAAATGAAAACAAAAGTTAAAATAAACATTAAAAATATAAAAATGGTAGGTGACCCTTCTGGGCTGCCGAAGCTGCTTCTGGCAGTGCGTTTTGCTGCTGAAAACAAATCGGCTGCGAGTCATTTCCACTATGCTATGAATACTGAAAGTGTTGAAATTCGTACGGATTAAAGTGGTTGGCGATACTGAAGAATTACAACTGATAACGTTTTGTTACAATTGGGAAAATGTTGAAGCAAGAGCTCGGTACACACGATGCGTGCTTGTGTTGTGAAATCTAATTTAATTGCAGAATTTCAGATTTGATTGACATTGCAACAATAGAAAAATAAAAAAAATGGTTTTTAGGGCCATTAGGCAAGATCTGACCTGCTTCGTGGCGGGATATCGGTCCCTTTGATCTTAAGGTGTCGCGCACATAGTTATGTCTGATATGATCGCGACATAAGGGTCCCACATGTCGCGAGCATGCGCGTGCGATGATAGAATTTATGTCCAATATCGATCATGTTAGTGCGACCCCTGCCTAACTAGAAGACAATGAATAAAATGCAACAATCACTCCAGTCTCGATACCTGTGTTTAACAACTGGAAATCTAACCAGAACTTTGTCGATGCTACAACCTTCAGGTAGCTCACCTTTTCGTTACACTGTTCTCCGTTGCTTTCTGTTATCTCAACTGGTTTGACAGCGAACTTCTTCAATGCTCTTCTTCAATTTAAGTTCAATTTCACCAGTATTTCAGTCCACAGATAAGTTTAGTTCAGATATTTCAGTGCTCATACAATGCTCATACAGTGCTCTGACAATGCTCATTCAATTCACTTCAACACAGGCAAAGGTCCGGCCTACACAGCGCTCACAAATACGTAAATTTAATGTGGACCCTTAACCTATCGGGTGTGCGACTTGCTTGTCGACCTAAAGTTATATGTATGGATGATATGTTCTTATTATGAGTTTGTCCTTGAGCTCAAATTTATCCGATGCTGGATAAAGCACAATCCACACAAAATCAAAATCTTTGTTTAAATGCTGAAATTAAAGGCTCTCCGCGGATCCCACAAACTGCAAACGACGGCCGCAAAGGACAAGTTTCTCACTCTCCGAAACCAAAGATGGCGAATTTTTGGTGTCTTATTTACTAGCTCCCAGAGTTCATTTCGCTTCCACCGAGGGATAAATCGTGCGCGACATAAGCGCAGCGCGAAAAAAGTGCGAAATCATTACCCAAAGGAATGCTGCGGGCCAGCATTAAGCGACGACTACGTCATCGCTTAAAAATGATTACAATTGACAGCACTTTACATTCCCTCTTTTATTGCTTATACATAATGCATTAGTCTTACAGGATTACGTTATTTAGGAGTTATTTTATAGTCAAATATAATATTTTCTCGTGAAATGTAACCCAAACCGTGATTTACCAGAATAAGTTACCGTTAGGCAAGATTATTTTTCTTAGTTTGCCGTGATTCTTTTATTTTCTGTGAAACATGAGCTACTCAACCGACAATTTCAATCTCTTTACTGCCCTCGACAATCATGGAGTTGGGTTTTGATTTATTGTTTCCTGCACCCAGGGCTTAAGTACCAACACGTCAGAATACACTCCGAATCTATTCGGGCGCGCACAACCAACGCCCCAGCTGACGATACCCATAAGATACCATTTGTTATTGCTCGGACAGACCAGCGGTCCTCCACTGTCTCCTTGGCATGGACCAACTCTTCCCTGAGAGAAACCTGCACAGCGCATGCGTTCCGTAACGGGCAATCCGAGGTCGCTGTATGCTCGCCGACAAGTGTCACGTGGCACAAGAGGAACTTGGGCTTGCTGCAAAATCTGAAAAAAACAATATCATAGATTTTAAATAGTCTTATTCTCTCCATACCTTGCACATTAAATGAATGTCTCTTCCAGCTCAACTCATTTGTGGATTTTACACACGCTTATCATGAATATCGTAAATACAAGTCATATTTACCTGTGAAATATTTCCCCCCTCCTGTGTTCTGCCCCATCCAGTGGCATAGCAATTAGTTCCAGAAGGAAAATCCTTGGTGGGCAGACATACAGGTCTTACGTCATTGTTGAACTTGATTGGTTTCTTCAATTTGATCAATGCCACGTCATAGTCGGGCCCAGTCGCTGGCGGGTTAAATTTAGGATGTATGAAGATTTGATCAATTGGGATAACTTGCTCGGTTCCGTCCGCTTTACGAAGATTATATTCACCTGTTACACAGATAAACGTGTAGTTAGAAAACAAATTTAATCCATAGAATAGATTAGCCATAAATGGGAATAATTATTTCAAGGCTCGCGTTCGAGCTTTAAGCCTTTCGAATTTTTTCGCGTTGCTAAATCTGAAACGTAGAAACGTTTTTCAGTCTACAAAAGAGATGTTAAATGCTGTCAAGGATAGAGTAAAAAGAGATTTTTACCACAATTGGTACTAATCACGCAATCTGATTGGCTAATTTGCCGATGTCGCCATGGGTTGTAAGGCCACTTGCACGCATAACAGGCGTAAAGACAAACCAGCGAGACCGTCTCGTGAGAAGCATCATGCTGAAAACAAAGTCAAGTCACTCTCCAGTGTCCTCTAAACAGAATAGTCTTACTTAAAGGAGCAGCTGGAGTTGCGGAGGAAGCTTAATTGTGGGACCTGGCTATCTATTTCGTCACCCAGTGACACTGTACTCAGGAACAATTAATGTTAAATTACGTTGTAATCCTTTATAGGCTGATGTAAATGCTCAGGTAGCGCATTTTGGAGCCGGGATGTAGAATTCCACGTGCGAATATTTATTTTAGCTTGCCGTTTATGTTTTTAAACGCTACGGTTCCCTAGCGCGCCACTTTTCTCAACGTTTTCTCTGGCATCAAGTTAATATTATAGCGGAATCTCTACTCTACCTGCTAGCTTAACCGCCATCGCTACAGTCATGAACAATTGTAAGTCTTTACATTCGGTCCGGTATTTTTATTATCACTCCTATTATTCTCATGTAATTTCATTTATTTTTCTGGTCGAACCTCGCTCGATCGCTCCCTCCTTCGTCGATCATTCAAACCTCAACGGGCTCCTCGAGTCTCAGTCAATAGAGCGTGAGTTCGAAAGACTACGCCTTGTGAGTCCACAACATTTTGACCACTGTGATGACGCGTATCGTTGTCGATAAGAATACAGACCACGCTAAACCACATTCGATTTGTAAATCTGCTACTTTTCATGGTCTACGTTCAAAGAAGCTGTAGAGAGTACTTGCAGAATATATACATATATATCTAAACCTTTCAAGTGAAACGGCTCTTAAACATTTTACTATGATGTTATTATGACATTACAGTGCGATAAAGAGGTGTGTCCTTACCAACGGTCAGTTTAAAAGACGCGGGATCTTTTCCGTTATTAAAACAGTGAGCTGCAGTAATGACCCAGTATGGGGTAAGAATGGATCCTCCACACCAAACAGGGCCCTGAAACGCCTTATTGTCCAATAACACTTGCCACGGCCAAGACCCCGGTTGCGCGTCTGTGCCCCCTACAATTCTGGAACCGGCCTTTCTCGTGCCACACTGCACGTTCCCTAGCGATGAAAGACAGTTAAAGGTGAAGAGTTGTCAATGTACAAAAGACAAAATTCTAACTGAGAGCTAAAAACCGTGCGTCGAGTGAGAGAAATTTTTATTCAAGCTAATCATAACAAACTCAAAGGCAGGGCCGACCATTAGATGATTCACGAGTGGGAGGAAGTGGGAATGCATGAGTTTTGGCTTCTCGATGTTCTTTAATTTTCTTCCAACAATGGAGGAGTCGAGTTTTCGTTTTCAAGTCTACGTTATATGATTTTTCTATAATCTGAAGCGCTTACACACCCCGAATAATCTAATAATCTACCCCTAAATATAGGCTCGTTTACCGCTGCTCTCTCGCCTTCGATCGATCTTAGTTCCTCCCCGCGAAGAGATCGGCGGAGGAGTGCGGGTTCGTTTCCCGAACAACGGCTGGAGATCGAGGCTACCCCTAATACTGCAACAAATCAGACATTTTCTGTGAAAATCCTTAGCCATCTTTCATGATTTTTGGGCGTCAGTCATTCTCCGTCAGTCACTCTTTGCGTTAGGTATCCGTTAAGAGATCAAACATTTCTGAAACACTAAATTTCCCTTCGGTAAGACCCCCAATCTCATCGATTGGGAAAGAATTCCTCGCGGTAACACTTCAACCTCTTGAAACACCCCTCCGAATATGAGCCCACTAAAATTCCATTTCAAGATATACCAAAGTCGACGATTTATCATCGAATACTATAATACATCAATTAGCGTTCGTAAAAATATCGACAATGATAAAACCCATTCTGCTAACGTGTTGGATCTACTTAATACAAAACTAGGCACTCATACAAACCAGCACGCTTGTTTCTAAATTTGTGTTCCCTAAACAGCTTCAAGGTATCTGAAAAACATGTAGACAATGATTAGTTACCAGAAACAAAAAACGAAAATTTGCGCACAACAGACAAATGGCGTGTGAACAAGAAGTTGACTATCAGTTTAAAAAAAACTACACTGAAGATCTCCAAACAGAAATCAATCCTTCATAATAATTCAAGCCAAACATACCTTCATTTACGCTGCTTGGTTGATTTTCACTTCCTTGACTGATCTCTGTAAAAGAAATAAGTAAACACAGGACAAAAGTTCCAACACGCGTATTACACGCCAACATTATGCCTCACGTCTTTAACAAGTTACCAGACCAAGTTAGCCTTAGACTGGAGAACTACAGCTCTATATAAACACTGACCTGACATAGGCCCTGCCCATATGCTTGTCAAAACTGACCATAACAAGATTGGTTATTTACAGAATAAGAGTGATATCACTACGTAAACATCAAGAGTCACTGAGCCGAAAAACATTGAGATTTACAAAAGTATATTTAGATACAGTGTAGCTATGAATACATGAAAGAGACTAAAAATGAATGAAGTTTGCATATACGTTAAGATGTCTAAATTCAAGATCAATGACATCATAATTAGATATATCTACGAAACAGAAACTAGGTTTGTGTGTTTCTAACGAGTCTTCGTTGCCACTTGGCTTTGTACTATTGGAAATCCGCCAATCTGACTGGTTTAACTGAATCATCGTGTTCTATTCGCAGATACACAACTCTTGCGCCGGCTGCTCTTGAAACTGAAAATTACTCTTCAGTTTTGGGCTTAAAAATACATAAATTGTAGTTTTTGTGCTGTAACCCGGCTTAAGAGTGTCTACTAAAACAATTAGACTACTCGCCCTAGTTTTCTATGAGTGATAGTTAAATCGACTACGCCTCATTGACTTTCGTTTGTGAGTACAACTAATAAATGGTTGTTGTTGTTGTTGTTGTTGAAAATTCGGGCTTGCAGTCTAATTGTTAAATAGAAACACGTGTGGACAGTTTGGGATCGAGAAACGCTGTGTTTCCACAGCTTTTCTGAGTTCTCCCAAACTTTCATTAGTGTTTCTATAACTCAAGAGAAAAGCAGTAATGATCACACTAGAGAAAATTGTTTCCGTTTATTTACGAAAACACTGCAAGGGAATGAAGGGGAGATTATTTTTATATTTCTAGTATCAAAACGTAAAGTTTCTTTGGTTGCGCCATCATTACGTCACCAGCTAGTGCTAGATCTTGTAGTTATACAGTCTACAGAATTATATTGTTGCTTTCTGCTCACAGTCTTTTATTGGATGGTTTATTCTAAAAAGTATAATATAAACAAGCTAAAGGCTAAGATTACCTTGTGATATATTGGTCAAGATGCAAGAAATACACAATCAATATTCAATATTCGATATATATATATA